AAACTCATTATAAAAACAATTTGTCACAAGCAATTCAAATAGTACTATAACTACACACATTATAAACCTCTATGATGTGTTCAAAGTCCGCAAATTACGACCAGCACAAAGATAAACTGTTCTGTTAGAACAAATTTCTTATCTGTGAAAATGTTATTATTGCTTCATATTAACATCGAATTCGATGTTATTATTACATTTAAATTTCGAACGTCTCTGAAAAATATAACAATTTGATTCGACCTCAATTCTAATATCAGTCGAGATGAAGTTTTATTCAAAATGAAATGTCAATAGTAAACAATTTTGACAATCTTCACACGTTACTTGATATCGAATGATGTGATAGTTGGGGCCGACTCTAGTTTGTCTATGAATTAAATTAAAACTACGGTTGTGTGACATGCGTGAGAAAAGTTTTTATTCGCCGCCATTTCGCCAGTCGTAACATGCGGTTCCTGAACACATCACAGAGAGCTTATAATATGTGTGTAGATAAAGCAGTGTATGTAACTGTACATAATTAGGCATTAAAAAACTCGTGTGATGTTTTATTAAACTCGCCTGTCGGTTCGTTTCATCAACCCACACTAGTATTTTAATGCCTTTCATTATGTAACAGTCACATAAACTAATATTCTTGATGTATGTAACATTTTAATCGTATCGTTAATACATTATATAATTTTATGCACATGTTCTGAATATTAGTATGTTATAAGTTTTTAATGCACTAAATTAGGCAAAAGCTGAATAGCGTTGTAAAATGAGATTAAAAACCGGTTTTAAACTTTGTTAATCAGCCGCATTTTATTTTTCGTGAGTATTATCGGCTAAGGCATTGACTTACAAATAAGTCATCGCAGTATCGCGCTGTCAGTCGAACAAATGAAGACTAAAGCGGAGTTTGGCGCTCTGTATACGATTTTAGCGCCTTACAAGTGCGGACACTTTTTAGCGCGGACCCGACGTCCATATAATTGTAAGTCAATGGGCTAAGGCATCAGTTTTTTGACTAATTGTTTTCGTCGTTTTCAAGTTTCCCTACGTATCACGTTTGAATTTTCGTACTAATTATGTATGTGACCGTGCCTATTATGAGCAAACATAATTACGCCAGGTACTTGGTAAAACATAATGGAAGAACAGTAAATATTACCTCGGTAATGGTTGTCGCAAGCATCAACAATATTATAGAATTTCGTCTTGGAAATGTAATTATTTTCGTGTTCATGGACAGTGGTAACAATAGCGAATAGACAACTTCCCGGTAACGAACATTCATAGTAGAAGAGAGATTTGTAAACAAACAACAATATGTCCTTATGTGTTAAAATGTATAGTGTCTGTAATGCTCTAACGCGGTGATTTTAAATCTCCTTCCCAAGGTAGAGGTCAAACGCTTAGTTTAGGAATTTTTCCCGACTTGTGTCTCTTTTTTAAGTAATAAGTTTTTTAAATTTATTGGGGTCAACAAACAGTTACACGTTATAAATAGTACATAGCTATAACTAATAAATTGCGACTTAATGAGTATCCAACACCGTTAACCACAGATTACGTAAACAGTTTTCGGATTTTAGTATATACTACTGCGCTCCTTATTCAGTGGTTTCACCACCCACAAATAATGCCAACACTAAATCATATCAATATAATAGTGGAATTATGGGGGTATATACGAGTATACAAGTGGCCCTCCTACATACACAAAATTTACTGACTGACTGTGGCATCGTAGCTCCCAAACCACTGATGTTAATGTAGTTTTATTCAATTCAATTCTTTATTGCATTTACCATAGTGTAACATAGGATGGAAAGGCTTAAAGTAAGTTAACAGTGCATTATGGACCCTATAGGGCACTGCAAATTATATTTAGAGAAAGGGTGAGGAGAATTTACAATGTTTTGAATTTAGGAATGTTGCTTTTCATAATATACAGGTAAAGACAGGGTCAAGAGCACGTCAAGCTTGACACTTAAGATTTAAATCCAACTCTATGCCGCTTACGATAAGAACGGTGCAAAGTTCAAAGTGTCAAGCTTGACGTGCTCTTGACTGTACAACAAATGTTGCTTTGTGTTACAATCATTTTAAGTAACATTTAATGTTTTATCTCTCTGCATTTTATTAATTGTTTTCTTGAAGTATCGTTTTTATAATGGGGCTGACATGTTCAATAACGATGAAAGCCACTAAATTAAAAAAATTTAGGAATACAGAGCTAATTTTTCCCTTTGATAGATAATAACATTCCTGATAACTTTTATTCTTATGTAATTTCTTGAAAAACTGATTGTTTCAAAGAAAAAATTTTTTGTTTTTTTGTTTGGAGAAATAAACATTATATTTTTTCTCTCGAAATGTAGGAAAATGTAATGTGGGTGGTTTATTTACAGTATAAGTCCAATCATTCTCTATCAAGAAAAAAATAATCTACTTGCGGCTTTACGAGTAAAAAGGTGGCAAAATTTTAGATTTGTTATTTATTTTTAACAGAATATACTAGTTTCTACTTAACGTCATGTTATTGTAATAACATTCTCTAAATTACACTAAAATTATTATTATTATTATTATTCTGTAGTCGTAGCTCATGTATTTTATTAAAAAGGTACTTAAAAAGTTAGCAATTTTGCCGTACCTTTACTTACAAAGCCGCAAGTATGTGCGGACGAATCATTTTTTTCTACATAGAAAATGATTGGAACTATACTGTAAGTAATCCACTCTTATTACATTTTTGAACATTTTCAGATAAAAAATAAAATGTATATTTCTCCAAAAGAAAAAATGGTAATTTTTTTTCTTCGAAAATATCAGCTTTTCAAGAAATTGTACAAGAATAAAAGTTGTTAAGAATTTTATTATCTATAACATAAAAAAAATTACCTCGATACTCCACAAGTTATTCCTATGTCCAAGAATTATCAATTTGGTCCCACCGTGCGCCGCAGCGGCGAGCGGTGTGCCGTTGTTGTTACGTCGCCGTGTGTAATAAGTTTTACCATACAGATGATAACTTTATTGACTTTTTAGAGTACACTTTTTAATTTTAATTAAGTGTGGTTAAGAAACATTTCTGACTTCAATTGTCTTAATGATTATTCCGATATTTTTCACAAACTGTCAATACTGTTACCTAAAGTAAAAACGATTGCAAACATAATAAATAATAAGTCCATTCGCAATGTGTGTAAAAATATTATGTGAATTTTTTTTTATATTAAATATCAACAAAAAATACGAATGTAAGTAGCAATACATAACCTACTAGGATCGCAACTCAAATGAGATAAAGACTTAAATTTTCATCCCTTGACGAAAATTAATGCCAATACTACGAGGAATTTACATAGCTCGTTGCTATTTAACGAACCATTTTTATAGCCCGCTATAATATTCGAGGATCGTTGTTCATAACTCATGTTCGCTCTGCCAGAGCAACGCGATTCGCTGAACACGGGAAATTGGAGCTTCAGGACAAATTCCACTAAATATCCCATATTACTATTCTCTCAACCTCCACTGGCATTGTCCCTTTATCAAGTTTGTGATTTGAAATCGAAAAAAAGAGCTCAAATGCGTTCCGGCTGGAGTACCCACATTGGGCTTAATATCAATACGCATGTAGGCTTAGTTTACAATTATAATGCACAGACTCATAGCCGGCACTAGGAAAACCCTGTATCGTGGGTGTTATGGACACACGCATAGACAACCACAAATTTCACCCAAACTCGCGAGAGAAATAAGCATAGTTTACATAACGCACAAATTCATAGCCCCGTGGGAAACCCTGTATCGCGGGTGCCATGGACACACACGTAGACAACCACAAATTACACCCAAACTCACGAGATAAATAAATGTAGGCCATACAAATATTTCACCCAGCCCCTGGGCTGTTGAATCGAACCCGGGACCTCTGCATGGCAGTCCAACTGAGGAGTTCATTTACTTATATAGTAAGTAATTTCAAGGACGAACATTGATGGTGCATTTATACTAAATCTATGGTGATGCATTATTGTCTTACTTTTAAAACTAGTTCACTTTATCATCGTCTACCCATTTATACATCTCACTGATGAGTACGAGGATTGACACCGTTGTCCGTCAAACTGACTCCACGCGGCGTCCGAGGGTTGTGAAGCTTCTTTCGAGGTTTCATCACAATGTTTCCCTTTATCGAAAAGCTCATGGTCAATTTCAAATTAAACTTCGCACATAAATTCCGAAAAACTCAGTGGTGCGAACCCAGATTCGAACCCATGGCACTGGTTGAGAGGCAGTATGTCCATCCATCCATTAGGCTACAACGGCTTTTTATTCACAATCCGCTTATAATATCAAATTTGTGTTAAATCATTCATACAGTACGATTGTTTATATATGTAT